GACTCCATTTGGGTCTCGTTTACTAACGTGAGATGCTCCAAGATGTCTTCAATTACTACCACATTCGGGTTTGCCAAGACCCATGGTGCCTTGGACAGTTTCATTAGTTCAGCCCCAAAATGTTTTCTGCCCGTCATGTAAGTTGACGGTTTCCTATTTATTTCCCTGACTCGGGGTTCATCAGGGACTATTTTAGTGGCAACCCACTGTAAGTCTACTCGGGATAGTACCATATCCCTATCTAGCGGTCTGGCAAACTCCACCACTATAGGTCTAGCTGGTGCCTGTGGTGCTTCCGAGGGTGGTGTTTTCCACCTTCCAACACGGTTTGCTCTCCTAATTGTTATGTTTGGCGGAGCCCCTGTTAACCTGAGGATGCCATGGACCCTACCCTTATCCATTTCCCTACGGGACATTGATTCCCTTACATTCGGGTCCTACTTGTTAAGTATAAGGTGGTTTCTACGAAGTTCAACTTTCGGGATACTTGCTGCAAGGAGGGTATCTACTTGCTTCTTCAGCAAGTGGAGCTCTTCTTCTAACCTACCTATATTCCCTTGTGAGGGAATGATATTTCTATCCGCTTCAACTTTGGACTCACGGTGTGGCTTGCGACGGTTCGCACCCTGACGTACTTTGGAGTTGACAATTGGCAGCGGCTTGTGTAAAGGTGTGGATAACGCTACCACTAATAATAAAAATGGTATATTTCACGAAGCCCGTGAAGCACGCTAGTGTGCTAGATCAAATGTACAACAATCTAAAAATGGCAGTGGAAGCACAAAGAAAAAGTACACAGTGTAAGAACGCATTTGGCAAACGGGTACAAAGATACCATAAATAATAATGTGTATATTTCACGGAGCCCGTGAGACATGCACAATGCATGATCAAGTGATCAGAGCGAGCATATGTACAATAACAGTGTAAGTACATAGGTAGAAATAAAAACGGTGGGGATCAGAACGAAAACACAAAGTGAAAGGAACACAAACCCGAAAAGGTCACCGACGAATTTATGGAAGATGGAGGATGCATTGAAAATGCATGTCACTAGAACTGGAAGTAATGAAAAAACTGGTCTCGGAAGGATTGGACGTACGGCAACAGTGNTACGGAGAGGTGGTCTGTGGAACAAATGCTGCCGGATGGTGGAGGCATGAGGACATGAATAGAAGGGAAGGAATACAGCCAGAAAAATACGTCGGTAAAGGAACATGTTCGCTCTATGCTGCAATACAACTCGCTCCTGGAGACAGGTTCATTGGGTTTGGGGCTTCAATCGATCAAGCAGTGATTTGAATTATTTAGAGTAATTAAGCGTTGGTCGCTTTGATGTGGGACTGACTACACGCTAGACACCTAACCTTTAAACACCATGTAGGTGAGGCAGGGGGTGTGATCCCCAACCTGGTCTGGAACGCGGACGCATGTAGTCAAAACGGTGGAAACAGCCGTGCCCAACAGANTGCCGGAGCCAAATTGTCCATTGCAGATGAGGACCCCAAGCCTTCCTGTTGCTACGCAAAACGGTTTGCCAAGAAGTTTCCCCTGCGGTTTACTCTTTTTCTGGTTTGTGGTGACCTGAGCGTAAGTTCTCAAGGTTACTCTGGATTGTTCTTACGTTTTAGGGCTCCCAAGACGCTCGCTGCTCAGTTTGCCTCTGGTCTTTGTGGTACGGGTGCCAATTCCCAGCAGGCTAACAGAGAGTGTCATTGACCTTGACCTTTTATGATGTCAGGATTATCGCTCTTATCATGTGGTTTAGTGCGGACGCATTCATTCGTACATACACGGATCCGACGATTAGACGGTCTTTGTTTTTCTTCTCGCTCTGGGCGATCAGGAAACGTAACAATTGACGACGGGAACGAACCCACGCGTTCAAGTCAAAACAAAGTCATGTCAAACCTAAGGGAAATGTTCATGCAAATGCTTTATACACAAAACATGCTCATCGAAGCTTTGGCCAAAAAGATGGATCAATCTTCATCGCTTCAATCGATAAATGCAGGTCTAACCAGTGAAAACCTCGCCAATGTGATTACAGAATTCACATATGACGCCGATGCAGAATTGACGTTCGAATCTTGGGATATATTCACCGTGGATTGTGCTCTGTGGGAAGACACTGACAAAGTAAGACTGCTCATGCGCAAACTTGTCCCGTTGAACATCAACGATATACCAACTACATCTTACCTAGTAAACCAACGGACGTACAGTTTTCAGAAACAGTGAAATGCCTTACCCAAATATTCAGTGCTCGTGCTTCATTATTTCATACACGATACCAGTGCCTCCAAGTCAGGAAGACACAGTCAGAAGATTCTGTCACATATGCAGGGAGAATCAACCTGGAGGCTGAGCGGTTCAAACTAAAGGACCTCTCAATGGGCCAGTTCAAATGTTTGCCATTCGTCAGCGGATTACAGTCAGCCACGGATACAGAACTGCGCAATCGTATACTGTCGCAGATTGAAAATTCCGCGGACCTCACTCTGCATAACATAACAGAGGAACGCCAAAGGATAGAAAACATAAAAATGGACTCCGCATTGATAGCGAAAGGTTCGGACTACAATACCGTGAATCGCTTACAAGTTTCCCCGAACAAACGGGAGGCTTGGAACGCACCAATCAACCCGAAGTCTAGACCGCCCACAGCATGCTGGAAATGTGGCAACTGGAATTTTGTGAAATACTCGCCCTATGCCGACCGAATCTGTCATGTGTGTGGTAAAAAGGACACAAAAACATAAACTGTTACAGTTACAAACAGCCATCATCGAACCAAAATGGATTACAACGAAAACCTTCATTAAGTCACTCAGAGTTATTGTATAACTCTGGTATTTTTCACTCTGCCACTACAGAGTTCTCATCTAGACGGAAATTTATGTCTATCGTTGTTAAAAGTATCCCGTTCATTTTTCAGTTTGACTCTGCGTCAGACATAACCATTTTGACACGCCATTCATGGGAAGCCCTGGGCTGTCCAGCTCTCCAACAAACCAATTATTCAGCCTATAACGCTTCGGGCAAACAAATGGTTATTGCTGGGATAGTCAAATGTGTATGCAAATTTCGTGACACGGCATTTACCTCCGCGGTTTATTTTGCCAATGACTGTTCATGTAATTAAGTTGGTA